GGCGCAGCTCCACGCGGCTCCAGTCCCGCGTTGCCTTGGGAAGGGAAAGGCAAAACCAGGAGCCGCTGAGCCTGAACCTCCGGTGCCGCTGCTGCTGTTGCAAAGCACCGCCGCGGCTCTTCCTTTTTGCCTTTCCCTTCCCGAGGCAACGTGGGACTGGAGCCGCGTGGAGCCGTGCCGGCAGTAGCAACTCCTGACTCAGGGGGCCTCCGAGGGGAGGGGAAGGAGGAGAAGAAGGGGGGAAGGGGGGGCGATTCCCAAAAAATCTTGTGCTGACCCGGCCCGTCTGTCAAATTTTAAAAGTGAATGCGGCCCCCCGAGCCAAAAAGTTTGCCCACCCCTGCTCTAGCTAAATTCTAGGGATGTTTTGCTTCTGGGAACTAAGTTACAGGACTGATATGAAATATTAACCACAGTATCAGAACTAATTTCATTTATCAGAAGCATAGGAAATGTTTGAAATCAACTGTATTTATAGTTTATGATAGCACCATCATTTTCATACTTCTGCTTATGTCACAAATGTTATAAATTGTGAACTTGGAAATGTAGCTTGAAGCTACTTTGGAAATCTCAAGGGCCTGTCTTTTCTTTTGATCTACATCAGCTTTTTAATTGGCAATTCTTATTTCATTCCTTAGTGGACTAAATTAGTGGACCAGTGAAATGCAGTGGATATAATATACTTGGATTTCAGTAAGGCATTTAACAAAGTAGACCATCACCTTGGTAAGCTAAAAATATGTAGTATATAGACAGCATTACTGTTGCTCCATCACTGGAGGCTTTTAAGAAAAAACTGGACAGCCACTTCTCTGGAATGGTATATTGTCTCTTCTTAAGCAGGGTGTTGGACAAGAAGACCTCCAAGGTTCCTTCCAACTCGGTTATTCTGTTAAATTTTGGATATGGATGAAAAGTGAGTACTTTGCAGTATTTTGAAGGTGCTAAAAATCATTCCTTTTACCTCGTTCACCTCTTTGGTTTTAAGCAGAGAATGGAGGCTTAAAGAACTGCAAGATCACGTGAGATCAGTAGCACAAGATCTCATGTTATTGATTTCTCGTGGTCTCACAATATTTTAGGCCTCTGTTCTCTGTAAATGGAGGCCTGGATGAGATCTGAAGCAAAAGGCTTTGCAAATGGAGGGAAAGCCTGAAACATCAAAGCTTTCCCTTCATTTCCAAAACCTTTTGCCATCTTTGCAAAAAGCCTTTTCAGCCCAAAACGGAGCTCTGCAGCTCCATTTTGGTGTGTACAGGTCTCGTCTGGCACTTTGCAGCCTGAAACAAAGTTCTGGAGAAGCAAACCGACCCACTGAAATATCTCATGCTCCCCAAAATTGCTTTCCTCCTACCCAACCTGCTTTCCATCACTAAAACCCTCATGGCATTCCCCAAACTGAAATACCTCACGTACCCCGCACTTAATGAATCACACATTTGATTAGCAAATGCATGGGCAAAAGGAGGGAGTGATTGCATTCAAGGTACGAGATTCACTCCCACGAATTCTTGGGTTAAAAATGGAATACACAATCCCCATTACATTTGTAACTTGAGGACTCCCTGTACTTGTTTCTTTCTTGCAGAATCAGCTTTGGAAGAATCTGTTTACTGGCAACACTTTCCATTTGAATTAAATTAACCATTTCTGGCATATTATGTAGAATTATGCTGTGTGTTCATGGATGTGCTAATGTTCCACAGTGCTGATAACAATCTCCTTTTGTTTAGATTGGGATGTCAAACTTGATTTCATTGCGGACTGTATCAGCATTGTGGTTGTCTTCAGGTGACCGGATTGGGAGTTGGGGGGGCATGGTTGAGATGGTCATGGTCGACTGGGCATAGCCTGGGGGCGTGGCCATCTTGATGTTGCTTGCGTGGCCTGGGCTGGGTGGATCTGCTGAGCGGCAACAGTGGCAGCCAGTGGCAGGGCCAAGGTGCATCAGGTATGCGAGGGGAACACACTTCCTTAGCGAATGTTTGAAGTTTTGTGATAAGCGCCCCCTAATATTTGTGAATGAGTCCCGAAACTATGAATGTACTACGGCAGTTGTTCGCTCTTACAAATGACCGCAGAGGCTCTGCAATATTTGCTCTGCCTATTCCCCTCCCCCCTGCGCCGGGTCTTCATAGGCACTAGGCATGTGCCTACTGTACTCATCTTGTGAAGAGATAGAGATCCTTCATTTTCTTGGCCTGTTTTGGGGCTTCAGTCCCTGTTTTGGCACTTGGCCGTTGCAGTGTGTCTTTTCTATTGTACATTTTTCTTCTTTGTTTCAGGACCTGATTAGTCTTGGGACCAATAGCTATGGGAAATTTTAATAGAATGACTTATGTGGAACTTCTAAAAAGTATTTTTTTTCATCCTAAAAACCCTAAAGGCCTCTGTCAATAGAACTGCTTATGGGATAGTTGAAGCAATAAAGAGGGCCCTATCATTTCTCCATTGAATACTGGTACCCTATGATTATTGGGTATAAATGGTGTTTAAAAGATTTTTAAAATTCTCTTTATTATCTTTAAAAGCTGGAAATCTTGCTTTTTTGCAGATCTTATCAAAAAGTTAGCACTGCAGACATTTGGAAATAAGCCTGGTGATTATCAAAAGGTAACTTTATTGCTTTATTTACATTTTCATGTAATACATTTGAGATTTTCTTTGCAAGCTAAATACTGTTATGTTAACTCTGCCCACATTTCCTGATTACTTTTCCAGATTCTACAGGTGAAGATCTGCCTGCTGTTTCTTTTTGCTTTGTGCCTACCTAATTTTCTAATTATCTCTAAAAGATTAATGAGATTTTAAAAATCTATAAAAATGAAAACATTTTTTTGCATAGTGTTTCTTTTAAGCAGATCAGTTTCTTGTAAGCGATTGACAAATCAAAATAATAAATAAATAAATAAAATAAAAAACATCTTGGACAACTACAAAAATAGGTTTTATTTGTGAAAATCCCAGTGATTTTCAGGCTTTTCTTTTTTGACCACTTATTTTAAATTTGGAACCCTGTTACCAGCATGAACTGGAATATATGGGAAATTGACCTTTTTTCTCATGATGTCTCTTGATAGGCTCTTAGCTTAAAATAAGTACCAATTACTTATACAGTATCTTTTATCTATTCTGTGTTATTTCTACATTATTAAAACTGTGTGGCTTTAGTTTGTATAAAGTGTTTATTATTTTGTGCCAGATTCAGGCACATATTTCTCTGTGTTTAAAAGATTAATTTTGTGGGAGAAGAGGATGAAACAAAAAAGATGGGGGTTGCTTCTCAGTTGTCAATGCATCATGGGTAAGAATGAATCATGGGAACTGAATGGGTCTTTCCTGAATCTTCTTGATGTGGAAGTTAAATTTTTTTTCTCCTGCAACCTTCTGCTTCTTGATGAAGGTTTGTGAACTGGTGGAGATAGTCCGATGGAGGTTGTGTGTGACCCTTTTTCTAAATTATTAGTTGTATTCTCTGCAGTAATGGAGATAACACAATTCTTTAGAGGATTTTGAAGATGACTGAAAGACACTGCCCTTTGAATGCGTAAAAAGGACTTAGAGGAATTAGATTGAGGACTTAGAGGATATCAATCCACCGCACAAAGCCATAGTTTCTGTCAACTCATAAAACATTTCTATGCCCGTTTTATAGTTGCCAACAGAAAAAATCGTGACAGTTTCATTGTGAGATGAAACTTCTGTTCATTATAAATAATAAGCTTGTATCTCGTGATTGTACCTCATACACTTAAAAAGCAGAGTTTAAATTGTTTTAAAAACTATGACTGCAATGTTTATTTCCCCTTTCCCTATATTTTTACGTATTTTTGAACTATTTTTGAAAGTCAGACAACTGATTAGGAAGGCCTATGTTTGAGTCACCAGTAAGGGTCTCCTTAGTTTTCCATAGTATTAGAGATACTTCTCTGTAAAAGCTGGCATTGGTGTGGTGGCCCTCCATCTTTAGGCATATAAATGTTGCTGCATCCTTTGCTCATTATATAAATGGAGAAAGGTTCACCATCAGCCCCATCCTCATAATTTGAAAGCCTCTGTTACCATGTTTTATGGAATGTTTCTTTGAAGAGAGATGTGATAGCAACTGATGTATAAATAGGGATTTATTCTGATGAGTTCTTCTCCAGGCCAATTCTGCTTACACCCAGGGGTATAACTGAGTAGTGGAGTGGTAAGAAGTTTTTTTGAATTGGAACAGTTCAAAACGTTGAATGCCAAAATATTTTGACCTTCCCAGTAGTGTTTTAAGGACAGAATAACCTGGTCTTTCAAAAGAATCTCTCTTTTGATCTTAAAAACTGCTGTTTTGTGCTTGAAACACTTACAGAGTACAGTAGTTAAAATTACTGTTTCTAACTCAAAAGTTTGCAAACCCCAGTTTGCTCCCTCCTTGAAAAGTGTTCAGATATTTCCAACTTTGTTCACAGGCTTGAGGAAACCAGAGTGTACTACTTTCTCCAAATCAATATCAAGTATTTGTGAAGGACTTTTAATCTTGGCCCCAACATACCAGGAAAAAAATTAAGTGCATTTTATAAGTCAGTAAAAAAGGCATATTTTAAATAAAGGAAATTTGGAATGTCTGAATTAATGCTCTGTATTGTGTCTGTTTAACTGATTATCTAAATAATGACAAATAACCGCTTTTTATAGATTATTTTTGTTAAAGAATTAGAGACTTTTTCAGGTAACCAATTATATTTTGAGTAGGTCAGAGAACCGGCAAATACCACCTCTGACTGGAGATTTTACAGTATCTTTCCCCTGCCACGCCCACCAAGCCACGCCCACAGAACAGGTAGTCAAAAAATTTGAATCCCACCACTGTGATATACCCCTGGGAATTTAACTCCCTCTATCAATGTTTCTCAGCCTTGGCCACACTAAGATGGACTCCCAACTATCAGAATTCTCCAGCCAGCATACCATTGAAATTCATACATTTTAAAGGCTGAAGTTGAGAAAAACTGCCCTAGATAAAGTACATTTAGAAAAAACATTTAAACCAAGTACAATAGTGTTTTTCTATCTATTTCTATAGGATGATAAAAAAAGGAATGAAATGTGATGTACTTCTGCCCCCAAAGCTAAAAAAAGTATAATAATTTATATGTTAATGATAATTCATTCTGTTGAAATATTCAATTTGAAATAAAACAATACTTTATTTTAAAAAATGCAGTCTGCACCAAGAGAAAGCTAGTTCTCTTAGTGGGGCCAGGACAAATTAAACTTCAGTTAAATGTTAATAACCAAAGATATTTCACTTCATCATTTGCATTCACATTTGCTTTGTAAATACTTGATTCATTTAATCATTTAATTATTCCTTGCTGTTTTCACTTGAATTGGTGGCTGCATAAATTATGTGAGTGCTTGATTTATTGCTCACCTGCTTTCTTTTTATTCCTGCTGCTCTGTACATCATTTTCCTCTGATTTCCACAGCCTGAAAATGTTGTATTGACTCTTCAGGTAAAACTTTTTGTTATTTCATACACCCTTTGCTTCTAAAATACCATGAATTGATTCTTAACCTCATCCAACAGAGTTCTTTTCAACATCCTATAAAGAAAGAATTTTTTTTTAGCAAATATAATTGTGTTCTTTACATTGTTGATTTCATTTATAAAATACTTCTGTCTCATTTTAAGAAAATTTTATTTAAAATATTTGTATTTATATCTAACAAAATTTCAAATTATATCCAAAACTAAAATCAGGGTACAGATATTAATTACTGCATATTGCTGTTGTTTATGCTGGAAGCTGTTTTCTTTGAGGAACTGGAATCTTTCATATGGTTTCACTGGAGTGTAATGACATAAAAGTGGCTTGGGAGAATTTGTGACACTCCTTTCATGCTTTGGTTAGTCTAGGACAGGGGTCTTCAAACTTGACAGCTTTAAGACTTGTGGACTTCAACTCCCAGAATTCCTCCTCCAGTCATGTTAGCTCAGGAATTCTGGGAGTCCACAAGTCTTAAACTTGCCAGGTTTGAAGATCCTTGGTCTAGGACATGGGTATCAAACTCGCGATGTCATGTTGCCATCACTTGACGTTTCACATTTTTTCTCTTCACGGAGCTGTGGTGGGCATGGCCTGTGCGTGACACTTCTGACCTGCGGGCCACCAGTTTGTCACCTCTGGTCTAGGACAGGGGCCTCCAAACTTGGCAGTTTTAAAACTTGTGAACTTTAACTCCAAGAAATTCTGCCTCTCAGCCTGTTTCTCTCTCTGCTGGAGCTAATAACTACTAGCAAGTGCCATTCTCCGTGGTTTATCGGTTCCCCTTTTGAAAGCTACCAGTTGATCACAGTATTGACAGATTTTTAAAAATGCTAAGCAAGATCAGATTTGCTTAATCCTTCAATTGGCGATGACAAAGTTCCAATTTTCCCACACTAGCTCTGTAGACTAGAGTGGGAAATAGGGAAAAAGCATCATAATAGAAGGTGTGACCAAGAAAGCCATTCATTCATTCATTCATTCATTCATTCATAGATTTCTATAGCTACCCACTCACAAAAATGTGGCTCCAACACAAAAATACAATAGATCACAGGAGAATGAATTATAAATTACAACAAGATGTCAGGTGGTTTGGAGCATACCAATGTATATTATCCCTTATGGCAGTGGTCCCCAACCTTTTTTATGCCGCGGCCCGGTACTGGCATCAGCTGGGCGCCGCAGCCCGGTACCGGCATCAGCTGGGCACCGCCATCTTGTTTTGATGAAAAAGTGCTTCCGGTGAGCTCACCGGAAGCACTTTTTCATCAAAACAAGATGGCGGCGCCCAACGCTTCCAGTGAGCTTTTCCGGGTAGAAATGGCTTTCTACCCGGAAAAGCTCACCGGAAGCACTTTTTCATCAAAACAAGATGGCGGCGCCCAGCAAACCAGCGGCCCGGTAGGATTTGTTCCACGGACCGGTACCGGTCTGCGGACCAGTGGTTGAGGACCCCTGCCTTATGGGACAAGCTCATTTCACGCAGGCCCATGAATGACATCCCTACAGGAAATCCACTTTCCTTTAACTGAGTTGCTTCTCAGTTGAAGCTTGCAATGCAGAACACTGAGATGTTATGGAAGCACTTTTTGCTTTGCTTGGAATCCTTTTTCATGGATCTGAACTGTACTATGTACAGCATTTACTTTATGATGGTTCTCTTGAAGTCTCAAGAAGGTTCAAATATTTCATTTCCCTATCTTTCCCTAAAAGATCCAGAGTGACTTGCTTAGGTCAGAGGTGGCATAAGAGTGATCTATTTGACTGGAATCCTCTCATGCATTGATGCTGCTGAAGTTACACTTTTGGAAAATGGTGAATTTTTAGAGATTCAGTTGCCCCAGTTTCAAATGTGCTTTTGAGTTGAGCTGATAGTTGCTCTCTTGCCCTGATATATCTGTGTGCTCCTATTTGTCCTGTTGCTGCCATAGGAGAGAGGAGCTAGTAGCACCTTCTACCTCTCCTGCCTGGAGCTCAAGAGAGGGTTGCATCTGATGGATGATAGTTCCCAACAAGCCCTTCCATAGGGCAATCACGTTGAGAATGCCCAACAGCTGTTGCATTCAGCATCACCAATCTGACTTTCAAGTTGTAACACATGTTGCTTTTCTCTAAACTGCAGGCAGTTTACTATGAAATCGGCTTCATAATCTCGGCTGCCCTGGGAATCTTATTTGTCCTGTTCCTTCCACTGATTGGTCTCTGTTTCTGCCTGTGCCGGTGTTGTGACAATTGTGGTGGGGAAATGCACCAGAGACAGAAAAAGAATGCCAACTGTCGGAGAGGCTGTTTTGCTAGCCTCCTCTTGGTAGCTACATTGATAAGCAGGTAAGCTAAACACAGAGTAAATTTGGGGCGACTGCCAAAGAACTAAATATGTCTATTATTTCTGGAGGATTAATTGAATTATACAAATGTGTTTAGAGCAGGGGTGTCCAACCTTGTCAACTTTAAGACTTGTGGACTTCAACTCCCAGAATTCCTCAGCCAGCTTTGCTGGCTGGGGAATTCTGGGAGTTGAAGTCCTCCAGGCTTAAAGTTGCCAAGGTTGGAGACCCCTGCTCTAAAATGTCTGCTGCAGCTCAGCCAGACCACAGATAATAACTTGCTTTCTAGGAATTGGACACCCCTGGTTTAGAGACTTCTAATTTTATTTTCATTATATCAGAAATTGTCTTCATGATAAGAGATTAAAAATTTCAATTTTTTAAAAAAAGTTGGATTCAGTCCCCTTTGGAAAGGCAGGAATCTAAAATTATAAGCCATTTTCTCTTGAGCTCTTCTGAAATTTATTTTGTGGTAAAACACATATATATTTATCTCCTGTTCCAAGCCAATGCAATAAACCCCCCCCCAAGACATCCTCAAAGAAACATCTTGATAACTTTGCTGGAGAAGACAGGCCTGCAGCAGTCCGAGCAAATGAAACTATGTACTGATTTCTTGTTAAGAACATAGAACAATACAGTTGGAAGGGACCTTGGAAGTCTTCTATTGCAACTGCCCCCCATCTCCCCCAAGCAGGAGATCCTATACCATTGCAGACAAATGGTTGTGCAGTCGCTTCTTAAAAACTTCCAGCGATACCCACAATTTCTGGAGGCAAATAACCACAGGTTAATTGTTCTCACTGTCAGGAAATTTCTCCTTAAGTTCTAGGTTGCTTCTCTCCTTGATTAGTTTCCATCTGTTGCTTCTTATCCTGCCTTCAGATGCTTTGGAGAATAGAAACAAACAGGATAACAGAGTTGGAAGGGACCTTGCAGGTCTTCTAGTCCAAACAATTGCTCAAACAGGAGACTCTATACCATTCAAGACAAGTAGCTGTTCAGTCTCTTAAAAACCTCCAGTGATGGGGCACCCACAACTTCTGAAGGCACCCATTCCACTGGTTAATTGTTCTCACTTCAGAAAATTTCTCCATAGTTCTAGGTTGCTTCTCTCCTTGATTAGTTTCCATCCATTGTTTCTTGTCTTGCCTTCTAGTGCTTTGGAAAATAGGTTGACCTCTCTTCTTTGTGGCAGCCCTCCAAATATTGGAAGAATGCTATCATGTCACCCCTACTCTTTCTTTTCACTAAGATTAGACATACCCAATTCCTGCAACTGTTCTTCATATGTTTAGCTTCCAGCCCCGTATCATCCTTGTTGCTCTTTTCTGTACTCTTTCCAGAGTCTCAACATCTCTTTTTAATAATCTGATGATCAAAACTGGATGCAGTATTCTAAGTGTAGTCTTCCTAAGGCTTTATAAAGCAGTAGTAATACTTTACATAATCTTCATTCTATCCCTCTGTTAATGCAACCTAGGATTGTGTTGGCTTTTTTGGCTGCTGCTGATGCACACTGCTGGCTCATATTTAAGTGATTGTCCATTAGGACTGCAAGATCCCTCTCATAGTTACTACTATGGAGCCAGGCTTCACCTAATCTGTACCTGTACATTTGATTTCTCTTGCCCAAGTGTAAAACTTTACTTTTCTCTACACTGAATTTCATTTTGTTAGATAGAGCCCAATATTCAAGTTTGTTGAGATCCATATGGATACTAAATCTATCTTCTGGAGTGTTGGCTGTTCCTTTCAGTTTAGTGTCATCTGCAACTTTGACGAGTTCCCCTTCTATTCCCCCACCTAAATCATTTATGAAGATGTTGAAGAGTACTCGGTATAAAATGGAATTGAGTGTGGTATGTCAGCCAGACACTGGGCATAAAATGGAATTGAGTGCAGTATGTCAGCCATCAGATCCATCTGATGATGATGCTTTCTATCTCACATTTTTTTAGCTTACCAAGAAGTAGGTTGTAGTCTGCTTTGCCAAATGCCTCACTGAAATACAAGTATACTATATATTATAGTATATTATGAAATACAAGTATGTAACTATATATTACACACTATGTCCAATGCATTTTCGTGGTCTACTAATTTAGACACTTTGTCAAAGAATGAAATAAGACTTCAGTATCAGACTGATTGGTCTGTAGAAGACAAATAATTCTCATTATTGTCCCTGGAAACATTATATTCATTAGTCTCCTTCAGAATCCAAAGTAGTGAAGACAGTACTTTCTGGCTTTTGCCCTTGTGTTGAGTTTAATATTTAATAGAAGAGATGAAGATATATACAGATATTAGCACAGTCTCCAGTCTCCTCCCCAATTGTAGCCCTCTGATTTGTGTGAAAGATGCACAACTAGTGGTGGGTGGACATGTCTCTAACATGTTAAAGAGGATGCTTCTTTCCAAATCTTCTATGGAAAGACATGGTTGATTTAGCTATGACTTTTGCATTCATATATCTCAGGAATAGCCCTTTAATCTGTACAGTCCTAGAAAAATGAGCACAATTATCATCAATCAGTCTAAACAGATGGACATTTAAATCATGGGCCTGTTATAATACAAATTGCTGAATGGACTGCCAAGAATTGTCCATGTTAAATTCATCAAACCATTAAGAATTGTTGTTATTTAGATTTATATCTTGTGTTTTGCTCCAAAGCTTAAGGCAGCTCACATAAGGATTTTATTTTATTTTATCTCAGAAAACAGCAACCTATTGAGGCAAGCTGGACCAATAGAGACTTGTCGAGGGAGTTTCTGTAGCTGACCTGCACTAACTTGGTCCTCTAGGAAAGCAAGACTGGACTCAATTTCTAGCAAAAAGTATATTTGTAACTAAATGAAAGCCAGAACTGGTTTTTTTAAATAAATTTTATTGGTTTTTAAAAACAAACATAAACAAACAAAACATATAAACATCAAGCTATCTTCCATAGGTGTACATACTGTGTGCCGGTTGGTTTACAAATTGTTTTGTGCTTCCATTTCATAGTCTTCAATTACAATTACATTGCATATGATCTCATATTGTCAATCAAAAATTAAATACCTTAGTATCATTATTAATCAATCATTTGACTATACTTTTATTCATTCATGTTTTGCAGGATAGTCATAATTTACTTAGTTTATTTTATAACAGTTCATATTATCATCCCAAATCTATCCTAAAATCATTATGTAGATATAATAAGAAAAAAGTACATCTTTATATATTTATTATTTTCTAAAAGTCTACGTATTTCAGTACTGTATTTTATTGTCTAACCATTGATAGAAAAGATCCCAAATTTTATAAAATTGTTTATCCTCTTGTTCTCTAATTTCAAATGTCAATCTACTCATTTCAGCACATTCCAATATTTTCTTAATGATTTCCTCCTGTGATGGTATTTTCTCATTTTTCCAGTTTTTAGCAAATACAATCCTAGCCACTGTTAATACATTTACAATCAGGAATTTCAAATCTTTACTATATATTTCAGGTAAAATTCCCAATAAAAATATCTCTGGTTTCAAGTCTATATGTTTTTTTGTCATTTTTTCCAACCACATGTGGATTTTAGTCCAGTATTTTTTAGCATCCGCACAAGTCCACCACCTATGGTAATATGAGCCAGGTGTCTGATGACATTTCCAACATTTTTTGGATTTATTCTTGAACATTCTTGCTATTCTTGTCGGGGGAAAATGCCACCTGTAAAACATCTTATACAAATTTTCTTTATATGCTGTTGACATTGTCATTTTATAATTTTGAGACCACAAATTTTGCCATTTCTCTAAATCGACCCCATATCCAAAATTCTTCCCCCAAGCAATCATAGTTTAACTTGTTCTTCTTCTAGTTTAATTTCTAATAAATATCTATACAATTTTTTAATCACCTTTTCATCAGTACCTGTCAAAATCTTATCTAAGTCAGTCAGTTTATCATAGAAACCTTCTGTTTTAGAATCTTTATCATACCTTGAATGTATTTGCGCATATGAAAACCAATTCAACTTTATACCTTGTTCCTCTAGTTTTTGCATAGATTTAAGTTCACCCTTTTCATTCAATATTTCACCATATCTAACTGTTTGTTCCTTTTTGTATATTATAGGATAAGAAAATGCTTCAATAGTCGATAACCAGATTGGAATTTTCAAATAACATTGTCTTTTAATCTTCTCCCAGTTTAACCACAGAGACTCCCGTATATAATGTCTTCTAAAATACCCCTGTGTTTTAGTTCCTTTATACCATAAAAAGGCATACCACCCCAACAAAAAATCATGTCCTTCTAATGTCAACAATCTAGTATTTTTTAGTGTTATCCATTCCTTAACCTACATCAGATTTGTAGCTTGGTAGTACAACTCCCAATTAGGCAAATCAAATCCTCCTCTAATTCTAGCATCTTGCAAAAGTTTTAACTTTATTCTCGCTTTCTTATCTTGCCATATATATTTCAACACAATTTTATTTAAATCTTCAAAGTAGTCTTTTCCAAGCGTAACTGAAATTGTTTGAAACAAATATAAGATTCTGGGTAATATATACATCTTGATTGTTGAAATTCTCCCTATTAGTGACAGTTGTAAATTTTCCCATTTCACCAAATCTAATGCCTAAAATATCACAAAATCAAAAAGGAGTAAAAAAAAATAGATATAAACGAAAAAACCAGTCCAGTTGCAAAATACAAGATCGTATATAGAAAATCCAGCAATGACAAAAAAAACCACATTACTTTGACATTCCTGTTTAAAATCGCTGCTTAATCACTTCTGTCAAAACTTTTACAGATTCTTTATTTTCCTTTGGGTGTCCTTTCAGATCTTAGAATAAAAAAAAAGTTCTCACCAAACCGGCACACTCTCTGTTCTCTTCCGTTTCGGAGCTGTCCCAACTTCAGCAGCTTTAATGGCTGCCTCTTTGCCACTGGCAAGAAGAGCTTCTCCTGGATCTACCAGGGACTTTGCGGTATCCCTGGGATCAACAGGATGCGCTCTTCACTTTCACCATCTCTTCGGGACAGTTTAGATCCGATAGGACCGTCCAGGAGCAAAGATATCGGCAGCGATCTCTGACCTCCAAGATCGCATGCAGTATCGTCGCGACGCCAGCTCCGACCCAGCCAGAACTGTGTTTTGTGTGTGAAAGCTTCCCAGTTAAACTTCCCTTTTTCATTCCACCACCACCGTTATTTCCTAATTGTCCAGTTACATTTGAAGAAGTTGTTTTGTAACTGTCCCTGCAATGGTGGGCTACATCATTCCATTTCCCAAGCCCGTGACCTTGCGATGGTAAGCTAATGTCTCGGAATAGCATAATGTTTAGTTTTGGTTTCCCCTTGTGGGAAGAATATCTATATGGTTCAGTTCCAAGCTGGAAGAAAGACACTGGAAACATAGAGGCTGATTCAGTGGTGGGATTCAAATAATTTAACAACCGGTTCTCTGCCCTTATGACTGGGTAGGCATGTGGCTGGGTGGGCATGGGCAACTTGATTGATCTCACCCTTAGGAAATTTCTCCTTATTCCAATTCAAAATAAAATAGCACAATAAAATAGCACTGTTCCAATATTTAGAATAGAATAGAATAACAGAGTTGGAAAGGACCTTGGAGGTCTTCTAGTCCAACCCTCTGCTTCGGCAGGAAACCTTACACCACTTCAGACAAATGGTTAGCCAATCTCTTCTTAAAAACTTCCAGTGTTGGAGCATTTACAACTTCTGGAGGCAAGTTGTTCCACTGATTAATTCTTCTGTCAGGAAATTTGAGGGGCTCCTACAAAAATGAGGGAGTCAATCTATTTTCCAAAGCACCAAAAGGCACATCAAGAAACAATGGAGGGAACTAACCAAGGAGAGAAATAACCTAGGACTAAGGAAATTTCCTAAGGGTGAGACCAATCAACCAATGGAATAGCTTGTCTTCAGAAGTTGTAGGTGCTCTATCACTGAGGCTTTCAAAAAGAGTGAGGGAAGTACACCCCAAAAGGACAGTGCCAGGAACCACTAAAACAATACAAAAAACTTAAAACAGCCATTTCCCTGCCTCTGTGTGTTTGTGTGAGAGAGAGAGAGGGAGGGAGAGAGAGAGGTTAGATCAGATCTCTTTCTCTCTCCCTCTCTCTCCCACCAATGTCAGCAAGCCACTGTCAGTCAAAATTCATATTAGAGGTCTGCGGGATTTAAAATTATGAGTTTGGTGGTCCCTGAGGTTCAAAAGATTGGCAACCCCTGATCTACAACTTACAATGTAAGGACTGCAACAACCACTATGTAGGACAAACAGGCAGAAGACTGGCAGCACGCATGCACGAATATCAATTAGCAGTCAGAAGCAAGCTCAGAGAGCACCAAGGACCCCTCAGTCTCTCAAGCTACCAATCCTTTTCCTTGTCAGGCTAAACCTATCTAGTTCCCTTAACTACTTGTCATATAGTTTAACCTCCAGACCCTATCATATTTGTTGCTCTTCTCTGCACTCTTTCTAGGATATCAGCATCTTTTTTGTATCACGGCGACTAGAATTGGATGCAGTATTCCAAGTGTGGCCTCACTAATGCAATATAGAGTGGTACTATCACTTCTCATGATCTTGATGCTGTCCCTCTCTTATACATCAGTTAGTTAAAATGCAGTCCTGAAAATCAGAATCGGAAATAATGCTATTTTTCTAGCTATATTAAGTGCTGGAATATTTATTTAGAAGCATTTCATATAAGTGTTCCCACTGTCACCTATCAGGGTGTAATTATCCCATCATCTTCTTTAACATAGTTGTATGCCAGGGAAACAAAACATTATGCTGCAGTTATGACTTGCACCTTCCAGTAAGTCATATTTAAAGTTACCAGGCTTCTGAACATGGAGACTCCATGTATTTGGTGTGACAAGTCTAAGCCATCCAGGCTAAAGAGGAGATTTGGGGGAAAGGTGAGAATCCATCCAACACATTTTAGTTCCCAATGAGCTGCCTAGTTGATAAGGAATTGTACAATCAAAACTCCTCAAACTCCAAGAGTCCCACCCAGTCATATTTCTTATGGTTGCCCACAGTCTTTTGAAGTAGATGATCATAATAAATTTAAATGGGTAAATAAAATAAAATAAAACAAAATGCAGGCAACCAAACTCTACTGGATGTCCTTCTCTTATCCTTCCCCTGGGTGTGATTGCCTCTTGAGAAAAGGGCAAAGTACAGTGGTGACACATTGGCTGATGTGGCCTCTTGAAGGATCTTCTCCATTCTTCCTCATCCTGAGCACTCGTAAAGACATTCTCCCATGAAATATTCAGGTAGCTCCATCTGCATCTTTGAAGGTCTTGAATCCTGGGTGTTTCCTTATTAGGGTGATTCCATTCTGTTCTTTTTATGTTTACCATTCGCATTCTGCTTTTATGTCCCCCAGAATTTCTATTTGCTAGGAACATCATAGGTATTATCTACCAATTTTCATTTTAAATCACAACTGTTTATATGTAAAACTTGTGAAATCTTTTCCCCCAGGAATGTTTGAAAGGAGATTATGGACGCTGAAGTAACAATATGAAACAACTCGGATGTACTGGATGTTGTTAATTTTTGTTGACTAAGTCTACCAACAGTGGCTTTGAGAATCTCCTTAAATTCTCATTTCCCCTATTCAGCTCAACAGATTAGTTGGACTTTGCCTAAAGACATGAACTTAAAACCATTCTTTAGTATTATCATAAGATTAAATCATTACAGGTAACCCTCAACTTATAACCATTCATTTAGTGGCAATTTGAAGTTACAACAGCACTGAAAAAGTGACTTATGACTGTTTTTCACACCTACAACCATTGCAGCATCTTCATGGTCATGTGAGCAAAATTTGGATGATTAGAAATTATTTCCTATTTATGACAGTTGCAGCGTCCCGTGGCTACGATCACCTTTTGCGACTTTCTGATAAGCAGTCAATGGGAAAACCAGATTCCCTTAACAACCCAGTTAGTAACTTAACATGCAGCTATTTACTTAATGACTATGGCAAAAAAGATCGCAAAATTAACTTAACTGACTCACTCAGCAACAGAGGTTTTGGGTTCAGTTGTAAACATAAGTCGAGGACTACCTGTATTACATACACTAAGTTGGTTTTCTAAAACAAATATTAATGGACAGCATCATGCATGGCCACTTCAATATCAGAAAATAGTTCCCTGATAATTTTACTGTGCTTTGGAGTCAGATATCTAACAATAGGTAGTAGGAATAATTCATTCTTCTGTATTCTTGCTACCTAGTATTGGGGTATTTTTCGCCTACGTGGCTAACCAGCATCTCACAAGCCAAGTCCGAGGAGCCAAGGGACTCATGAACAATAATTTCAGAGACCTTCAGATGTTACTGAATGGAACTCCTGGGGTAATGTACCATTTTCCTTTGGGTGGCTTCATGTCGTGTTAGGAAAGTAGGCGTGCAATGATTCCGTGACTAGATTCAATTTGACATAGACATTGTAGTATGAGATATTAAAATATTATTAAAAGATATTAAAATATTATTAATAGATATTAAAATATCATTAATATTATTTTAACATATTATTAAAACTAATACTTAACAATTGATTGGGTTGATTGTCGTGTGCACCATTAGTTGCAATATTTTACAGCATTTTTGTTTTAACACTCTTCTAGTAAGTGTGGGAATCTTGCCACAGTAAAAATGGACATCTAAACTTTTGAGGGGATACGGATCGCAGTAGAAGAACTGTCTGATCATACATTTTCTCCAGGAAACATAGAAGAGTGTAATCACAAACTTCCACTCAAGTTCACCAGCAGTTAATATTAAGAGTTTATATAGGTGTCATGATTAGGAGAAAAATTCCCAATCAGGATGTGAAGTAGACTGGGTATTGAAGCATCATCTACCTCATAAAACTAGAATTCAAGAGATTTTGTGATGCTGCAAGGTGTCCAGAAATGACAACAGTGTTTAAAGTTATGTGACTATTACTGTGTTAGTATACATGGGTATGTTGTTAATCCTATGTTTATTGCTTTCTTTTTAGCAAATCGACTATTTGGTGAATCAGTATAACACTACCAAGAAGAAAGCACTTTCTGATCTTAATAGTAAGTATATATTTAAGAGACTTCCGTCAGATGGAGTTTGTTCTCATACTTTTTGCTCTTCACTTTGCTAAGGATTACAATACTCTCATTGTGGACGAAGCATGCTATCTAAATGCTATCATGTTTTCCCGAAAATAAGACCTGGTCTTATTTTCTTTTGGGCCCCAAAATAAGCATTTGGGCTTATTTTGGGGGATGTCTTCTTTTTTTCTTTCTTTTTTTTCGTCACAAGATCCAGCCAGGCGTCCCCCCCCCCCCAGGAGGCGACAATTGCATGGAGGCCGACTGCAGCAGTTAGAGGGAGGCAGGTGTCCAAAGGGCATCGGCCTGTGTGCCTCAGATCAGCTGAGGGTGCCATGGAGTGGATGGCTGATTCCACTGCCATGAGGTGTGGTGAGAGAGTGAGAGTATATGGGCAAGAGAATGAGAGCACACCTCCACAAGCCCTAGTATAACTCTGAGGTTGGATCAGATCTCTCTCTCTCCTCCTCCCCCCCCTCTCTGGTGGCAGTGGCAATGCTTTGGTGCCTGGCTGCTTCCTTCTTTCTTCTCCCTGGTCTCCTCCTCCTCCTCCTCCTTTCCTTGCTCCGCTTTTCACCTGTCTATTGCAGGAGAGCGCCCAGGTTCTACTTTGACAGTGGCAGGGCTTGGGCGATGGTCAATCCCCATTCATGGTGTGGCCGCAGAGGCAGGGAAGGCAGAAGGCAATCCCGCCCACATGGCCAGCCTGGAAGGGTTGTGATGGGAAACTGAGCGGTGCCGAAATCAGCTGAAAGTGTGGTGTTTAAGCCCTGGAAATTTGTTTGAAAGGGACAGCATTGCCTGCAATTTTTGTTACTGGGAGAGGCTGCGCGTTGCTTCTAAGCACATGCTTCCCACAATCTTCCAGGGCTTGTCTACACAAAGGCAATTTGCTCTGGAAGGGAAGCAGGGAAGAAGTTTCTGTCGGGAGAGATCCTGCCTAGTACTCAAAACTTCAGTGCCACACTTTCAGTTGCTTTCGGCATCACTTGGCTTCATACCCCACCATCACTGTTGCCGCCACGAGAGAGAGAGAGACAGAGAGACAGAGACAGAGACAGAGACAGAGAGAGAGACAGAGAGAGAGACAGAGAGAGAGACAGAGAGAGAGAAAGAAAGAGCAAGAGAGCAATCCGATCCAACCTGTGTGTATATTTGTGTGTTGTGTATGTATGAGAGAGAGAGGAAGGGAGAAAGAGAGAAATCCAATCCAACCTCGGAAAGTTATACCAGGGCTACTGGTGGTATGTTTCCTCTTCCTCTCCCTCCCTCCCTCCCTCTCTCTCCCTCTCCCTCTCTCTCACACACATGCACACAGAGGTTTGATAGGATCACTTTCTCTCTTCTCTCTGCTTTCCTTCCTTCCTTCCTTTTACCGTGCAGTGATTGCTGGTTCCCACTTTCTCACCTACATCACTTTGCATCTCCCTTCTCCGTTCTGGAAATGGCAGCCCCGTTTTCTGCCATTTCTCCTCCCGGAGTCACGTTCCTTCTTGAAGGGAGACACGGGGCAATGCAGGTGGTACAGCAGGGCTGCCATTTCTGCTGCATGCAGGGCAACAAAAGAAGTTTGTGGAGCTAAAAAGTTCAATCAGACCTTCCAACTTTGCAAGATCTTTTTTTTTTCATGAAAAGTTGGAAGGTCTGATTGAGTCTTTTTTTTTTTTTAGTCCTACAAACTTTTGTTGCCCTGAATGCAGCAGCAGAGAATGGAGCTAGAAAGCAGGTTAGTGAAGCAATGTGGTTGCCATGGAGTGTGGTGGGGGGTTAGGGTTTGGCATGGGTGGCCTGGCTGAAGGTAAGCTGGTGTGGGGTGGGGGCAGGGGGCAGTTCTGCACCCCTCGCTTCACTTAGTCCTCACCCCCCCTTTCTTTGGGCTGCCGGCCCCATGTGGCCGCCAACCTACTTCTCCTTGCTCACCACCATAACAGAGCAGGAGGCTGGGAGACACATTGGTGTTCTGGCCACAAAGCAAGGTGGTGGGGTGGGTGGAGGATGAAGCAAGGTGGGAGATATGGAGCTGCTCCCTGTACCCCGCACTGGCTTACCTGAGTGCCCTGCAGCCAGGCCATCAGGTGTGGGGTGCATGGGGCAGCTCTACCCCCCTCTCCTGCCCTTGCTTGATTTTTATGCCTGCGCCTCGCCCCACCTCATAAAACCAGACAGTGGGCAGGGCTTAACTAGGGCTTATTTTGGGGATAGGACATATTTTAGGCACAGGCATGAAAATAGGGCTAGGGCTTTTCGGGGAAACACAATAAGTCTAAAACGCTAAACAGAAAATCAACACCTAGAGGTGTCATTTAACACAATGAGTTAAGATCTAAAGGAATTTTGGCAGGACAATTGGATCATATGCTAGTTTGTTGTTAAATTGGAAGCACATAGTTTTGCTTGTGCTAGAAATGAGCCTCCAGTCAGTAAAGAATTTTCCCAAGATTTGAAAATCTTTGGACAGGAGGCTGTTGGCCACCTCTGTGGGTTTTTTTTGGGGGGGGGGGGGGGGGGGGGGGGGTACTGCTGTGGCTAAATCATCTGTGCAACTAAATTTGTGTCCCTTGTTGCTGGCATATCTGACATGTATAAGTTGAATAGTGTAGGTGCCATTACAGAGTCTTGTGGGAGGCCGTTGTTTAATCTTCTTAGCTTATTTACATTGTCTCCCATTATTATCTGAGAATCTATCACTCAGCATGTTATTAATTAGTCGATAAAGATTTTTGTAGGGCATAATATAAATATTAAATAGCAGAAGACTGACAGAGTGACAGGAATTGCTGAGTTAAATAGAATTTATGGGGATTGATTGATACTGAAGACACTGCTTGGGAAGAATGGTTGAGATCATCTGAGTAGAAAGTTCTCAGCATTGCATAAAGGCAGTATTCATAACATACAATAGAACACAATACAGTAGAAACTCTGGTCACAAATGCTTCTGACAATGACCAAATCGGGTGATGACCAAAAATTTCGCAAAATTTTTGCATCTGGTCACAAATTAACACTTGGGTGGCGATCAAGCACAGCTGCAGCGATTTCCCCTTTCCGCCATTTTTTTTATACGCGCTGTCAACTAAAAATACTTCTTTGGTCTTTTTAGTTGCCAGCAGAAAGGGAGTGGGGGAAAGCAGTGCATTCCTTAAATGCTTCAGATAATTGCTTTGGCAGCCAAAGTTGTTGGTGCACAAGATTATTATTGGAGAGCATGATTGATGACTCCTGGCTATGGATGTGTCTCATTGGATAATATACATCCAGGGGGTGGGGGGAAGACCAGGATCAAGGGTGAAATGAATGATGTGTCAGAGTCAGCTGCAACCAGGAAACGCCAACTTGTTAACTCCTAATAAATCAATCTTTTTTACTCTGAGAGATGTGGCTAAAGACTTATGATTTGAATGGAGTGCATGTTGGAGCCCTGACACATGCATTCACAGTCTTGCTTCCATCACGACCAAATCAGGTTGCAACCAAAGTCATGGAACGGATTATGGTCATGACCAGAGGTTCTACTGTATGTATAAGTGTTGCATTTAGTGCCAGAATGACCTTTTTTTGTGTGCCTTCAATTTAGTATTGACTCCTGGCTAAACTAGTATCTGACTAGTATCCAATTTGGTCGTTGGCTAGGTTTTGAAGAGGTTTGCCATTGCTTTCTTCCTAGGGCTGAGAGAGAGAGTGACTGGCCAAGGTCACCTAGCTAGTTTTGTGTCTGAACAGGACTAGAACCCATGGACTCTTGGTTTCTAGCCTGATGCCTTAACCACTATACCGAACTGGCTATTAGATTAAACACATGTAATGAGAAGGTTCAAAATTTGGGTGATAACAAAGTTATCTATGTTGCAGGTTCAAAAAAATAATCCTAAGTAACTAGTGTTCTTAAGAGTTAAGATTCCTGGACAAACTGTCTATTTACTATTTAACACTATTTAAAATCAATGACCAGAGTTTGTGTATGCTTTAATCAAACTAGAATTTAATTTTTGTTATAATGTAAGAAAAATCATGGCATGGGTAAGGATTGATAATTTACATGCTGTTTGGGTTGTAGCTGTGGTGTTTAAATGCAAAAGTGTACCCTCAGGTAATTGGCAGTTGGTTTTCTTCCCATCATTTCTTTCTCCAACAGATGTTGGGACATTGCTTAGCAGTCGAGTCTGGGAACAGCTGGGAAAGGAGGTATACCCTGCTCTTGATGCTGCCCTTACCATGGCAGGAGGTAAAAGAATCACTGCATTTATAAATGTCAAATTATGGGGATAGGGTTGGTTGCAAAAATTAGATACATTCAATCATCAAGACTGCTGAAATGCCTCCTACAGTGTATCCCCAATACCCCAAATGCAATCAATCACCAATGTTTTGCAAAAATAACTCCATAGTTTTCTTTGAAAGCTCTGAAGTGATGCAGAGACCTTCTGTCCTTCTCTATATGGTGTTGCCAACCCCTGTTGAATGCTAGGAATTTTGAAATGATGCCAATATATTTAGATTGAGTGGGGACTGAACATTTACAGTGCCATGCATTAGTACACAGCCACTAATTGCAAATTGCTAGACAATGGGGGTGCTTGAGGATTCCCCCTGCCATGTATTCATCCACATTTTTTCTAGACAGTCCACAGCTGCACACCAAAATTTTGGCAACTCTGGTCCAATTGTATATTTCCGTGAATGCTTAAATGAACAAAAGTTGGCCAAACTCTGCATGGGAAAGTGTCCATATTTTTTGCCTCTGTTTGTTCATTTTGAATTGAGACAGCTGCATGTAATCAGTAAGCACACATTAATATTTTCAGAAAGATGTGCTTAGCTTTGCCCTATGCAGAGGTGGTGTCATTTTCTGTGCGTTTATGAATTCATTGAAAGTTAAGAGTTCAATCAGATACGTCTAAACTTCTGCATCCAATTTGTATGGAAGTGACTGTCCTGGAGAAAAATAGTAGAATGAAAGGTAGATGGCAGGGGGAACTATGCAGGCAAGGGTTAAACATTCCACTTCTATCTGCTGGTCTCCCCACACTTTACCCATCACCTCTTTGCTTTGCAGCTGTTGGGAGATTTAATTCCCCAGGCTTGGACTGCTTGTATGCTTTCAGTTGTAGTTCCCATAAACCATACCAAGTGCCAAACATCACAGTTGGTAGAGAGTAGTTAGTTACCTTTCTTAATGGTAGAAACTCTATGTTGGCCATCAAACCTGTCTGCATTTTTCAATCTTTGTCCTGCATTCTTTCTTTTATTTTTCGGTCTTGAAGTCAAAGTGGAAAGGGTCATTAAAGGTAAAATGATCTCAAATGCATTTTGTGAAGTGCTTCCTCTAGTTTCCACTCTCTGTGAAGTTTGTCTTGTCAAATTTCTCTTTTTTTCCAGCGATTCATTGCTTTGCTCCTTGGTTTAGAATTCAACAGCATTGCTTGCCCATTAGTTCTGGCTGCTTTTTGTAACTTATTCCTGCAAATCTTCTTAAATCCTGCAGGACTGTTCAGGAGCAAAAGGCTATAGTTTGAAGCTTATAGTTCTTTGTACATGTCCCCAGCCCTACCAGCTGGCAGATATGCAGAAGTGATGAAAAATGTGCAGTAGTAGCAAGCACCTACCATTTGTTTATACTATAGGGTTTTTGGCAAAAGGGGATATAGGACAAATAACATTTGTAATTTGATTATTATTTCATTTATTTTCGACCCAATATTGGGTGCATTGCATTTCAAATTTGGGTCTTAAAAGAGTACTTTGGAATGTATGGGAACACAGACATCTGCATCTATCAAAGTGTTACCTTTTCCTGGGATTGCGTGGCTATCCTCTGCATTGTCCTCTACAAAAATATAGCTGCTGTAAAGAGTTGTAGGTAGATACTATGTTTGCAATTCCATACACCCCAAATAATTCTTTTAGAATAAAACCTGAAGCATTGCACTGTTTTAATTGATGTAGCACTTCAAACTTTACAGTAGTTAGACAAAACAGCTTGGAATAGAAATGTTCCAACTGCAAAGGGTGCTGTTCCAATTGCAGCACAGTTGCTACAAGGTTGGAGTGATCTTCCAGGAAATGTTCCAGTCTTAGATCAAGAGGATCTGACATATCAGACATTGTCTGATCTCAAAATGGAACATTCCAGTTGCAAACTGACAGTCCATTTCAGGACTGGGTCATTTCCAGGATGGTGGGTCCAACAAAAGCAGGGACCCTTTATTAATATGAACTTTGTTCAGTTAATATATCCACATGTTCAGAGAAATCAGAGGGAAATATCTATGTGCCCTTGCAACAAAGGATATTCTAAAATGCTTTAGCTAAGCAAGCTAAGCTTTGATGGTATCAAACCTGTTCAAATACTAGTTTATGGTTTACTCTTTCAGATATGATGTTTAACTTTGAACAAGAAAAATGCAGAGTTTAGACATTTTGAATAAAAACTACCAGATATGTGTATGCCACTTTGTAAAACTAAGCCACGTTATGCAGATTGTAATGAAATTAATCTTTTTACCACTGTAGCTATTAGAGAGACAAAAGAGGCACTGGAGAATGTGAGTGGGTGTCTGGAAATGCTACAGGAGGGCACTGAGAAGCTGCACACCAGCCTGATGGATGTGATGGAAGACTTGATAGATACTCTTAATGATTCAGCTTGCACAGCTACCCAGGCCACTTCAACTTGCAACCTTATCAGAAATTCTTTGAATCAGCTAACCATTAATGCTAATTACAGCAAGGTAAGCTATACTCTCCATGCTTCTGTAAAAAGATTGGTTCTTTGCCTTCAGAAGAAAGCTAGGGCTTACTTAGCTGAACATTGAGAAGATAGAAAACTCATACGCTGGGCAAACAATATAGATTTTCTTGCTGTGCCAACTATTTATGAGATATCTTAAACCGGACTTTTAGAGCATCTCATGTAGAGATGATCTATACTTGCAAAAGAAGGTTTACTTTCGGGAAAATATATCTGTCCTTAAAAACATTTTATTTGAAGGTAGTCGAACTTCTTTTAGATTAATGGACAAACAGTTAGAAAAAAGCCATGGAAGATTATTTCAATATATGATTTCTGCAACAAAATTATTATATGCAGATATTATATTGAGAGAGTCAATACTACCCATTACGAAGGAATGGTTGGTGAAGTCTACAGATTCTGCTCAAATGGATAAATTGATTTCTTTGATTATAAAAAATGATTATCTACATTTATTGGTAGTTGGGAGTCTTCTACAGACTTCTGTAAAAATGAAGAAATGAACTTGTGATGTATGTTTTGGTTAGGTAGGATAGATTATAAAAATAAGAGTAGAGGTTAAAATATATTTTCTTTTTCTTTGAATTTTTTTTCTTTATCATTGACATGCCATTAGCATGTTGCAAAACTTCTGTATCTGTTAAATCTTACAGTAAAATTGTTCACTTAGGCTATTTTTCTTTATTCTCTCTCTTTCCAAGTGATTTATCTTTAAAGTGGTAGGGTCATCTTTAATGGTTGAGAATGCAATAATGGAGACAGGTGTTTTTTTCTAATCTAATCAATTCAATCTTCCTTTGGTGGGGAATTGGATTAAATTCAGGATCATCTTCATTTCATGTAAATGTGTCCTCTTCCCAACAAAGATAATTGATAGAATATATATATTTTCAATGAACTTTTTGGTCCACTGAAGCTAGAGGATAAGCAGTATAGTGCTAGTAGGATATGAGAGTGTCCATTACTCTTTCTGCCCCTAAATTGTCTAAAACTGCCCAAATTAGATTGAAAAACTTTTAATTTATTTTCTTTAAAGAAAAAACAGTTGGGGAAAATGACACCAATCTGAGTTTTCAGCACATGTAGCAGTAGATGATTGGCTATTATTATGTTGATTGATGTAGAAAATCTCTACTGGGTCTTTGGAAAGACGCAAACAATCTCAGAGCATCATAAGCCTCTCTGTTTGTATTACATATGCAGCTCACATGAAAATCAATTTTGTTGATTGCTTCTCCATCAATAAAGCCTGTAACATAAAACAGAAAGTGCTAATGTTTCTAGTGAGATGATTGAAGAGTGTCTACATTGGCAAGAATAATGAAGGAGAATTTAGGATGCTTTTTGTGATATTAGGATCATACAATAGCACAATCAGCAAAACTTAAAGTACTTCTTCTATATATTGCAATATTAACTTGAAATTATTTTCCCTTCTTTTAGTTACCAGGAGTGAATCCTCAGCTTGCCAAAGTCAACGAAGTCCTTAAAATAGACCTTTCCAATCTCATTCAAAAGGTATGATTGTGCCTGGTCAAGGCACATATATTTGGCTACATGTTGCATCCCAAATGCCACTCTATTGTTTATCATGTTGCGTTTGATATTCATAAGTTATTTCAACAAGCAGATACTCAAATATGGAAGGTGTGCACAAAGGAAACTCACAGTTTCTCTGTTAATATTTTTTTTTAGCATTTGGAGCTGAAATACAAAGAGAAACACAATTTAATCTTCTTTATCACAAGGCAACTTACACATGCTGTCAGCATTCCAGAGATTATCCATTCCAGCCAGTAACTCCAAGACAACCATAATCTCAAAGTACTTTTATTAGAATAGAACTTGGTACTTCTGTGGAATTCCAAAACTAAAGTCCCCCCCCCAACTTCCCACAACCTACAACCTTTTCCCCAAATCATACATCACATGAACCAATCCTCCTTCAGCCCCAATTCTTGCTGAGCCATTCACAATGACCTTGAATACTACAGAATCTATTTTGTCTACTGAGCTACTCAAACAACATCAGCCCTCTCCAATCCTCTGCAGCTGTGTGGCAACTTTTAATAACGATTCCAAAGCTGACACATACATTTTTTAAAATCTTCTATTTATAGCACATACAGGTAGTCCTTGACTTGCAATCATTTGTTTAGCAACCATTCAAAGTTACAATGGCACTGAATACAATAGCCTTCACATTTAATGACTGTTACGTTGCAGCATCCTCATGGTCATGTGATCAAAATTCAAGCACTTATATTCACGATGTTTGCAGCATCCCAGGATCATGTGATCACCAATTGCTACCTTCCCAACTGGCTTCTGACCAACAAAGCCAAAGGGGGAAGCCAGATTTTCCTAACAACCATGTGATTCACTTAACAACTACAGTGATTTGCTTAACAACTATGGCCAAAAGTGATATGAAATTGGATGTGACTCACTTAAGAACCACCTTGCTTAGAAATGGAAATTTTGGGACTTCTGATGGTGACGTCATGACGGTGCAGGGAAAAGAGAATGGGCTCCATTCCTTTGACCTAAATTTTCACATCTGGAGGCTCTCCAAGGGCCCGCTGGTCTTGGAGGGATATGTGGACAAGAGGAGAAGCCTGGTGAAAGGCTCGCTGCAATGAAGGGAAACTCCCCAAACCCGGTGAGAAAGTGTCCTGTCATCTTGCTATGGCAGACTCGAGACAACCAGACAACCAGGATAAGGAAGGGAAGAATCTTGAATATGCTGAGGCATCAAGTGTAATCAGGAGAGCCCTGTGCTGCAAAAAGGTGGAGAATTGCGCCAGAAGAAAGTAATTCCTAGAATATCTACGGCGGAATAGAGAGACTCTGAGGGAGTGGGGTGGAAGGCCGGCGATAGCAGCGATTTGCTGGTGTATGAGCTGATACATAATACGAGGCAAGGACAAAACTAAACAAAGGGAAAAGAAAGCTGTTTGTGTTTGATGTTTGGTTGAATAGAGCTGAACAGAAAGACGGCGTTTTGACGCTGATTGGGGGAAAATCGGAAGATCAGATGCCGCTGCAAGAGGAACTGAGAGAGATGGATTTAGAGTGAACATAGAGCTATACTGCAGAGTGATTTTGAATATAATGCCATTAAGTGACTAACTGTAATTCTATCAAGTATTGGTATTACTATATATATCTTCTATGCCTTTTCCTTACTCTTATTATTAGTGATATTAGAGCTATAAAGAGAGATATAATTAGAGAATCAAATCAATATATAACTTAAGGGGACAAGTACTGAGAAATTGACTACTGCTGTGGATTATACAACAGGGGAATAGAGCTTATATTTATTACTGTGCTATTTAACTTTTAATATTATTCCAAATAGATTTTATATATCTTTTTTCTGATTATAGAAATATAAATTACACTAGACAAGAATTTAACATATCCTGTATATAAAATATAGACGCAAATTTATTATCTTATTGATTATTATATCTACCGTGTTTCTCATATAATAAGGCCGGGTCTTTTTTTTTTTTTTTTTTTTTTAGCTCCGAAAAAATGGCTAGGACCTCTTTTTGGGGGTGAATTAATTTCTCCCCCCCCCGCACACCTTTGTCTAGAGTGCCCACAGGCAGCCACGCCTTGCCACCAGCCACTCCTAATGGCCGATCATGGTGGCGCGCGGAGGGGTCCCTACCCCTGCCAAGTGCCTTTGCTGCAGACCCGGGTCAACAGGCAGGCATCGTCGTCGTGGATGTCCACCAGCAGCATTTCAGCCGTTTCTCGGGCCTCTGTAGCTTCTACGATTCCTGCTGGCGCTGGTGCCTCTCTCGCCAGTGCTGTCTCCAACAACAGCGTCTGAGTCACTCCCGCTTTTCCCCCTGTCCCCGTCCCTGCAACAACAGGGGAAAAAAAACATTTTTAGATACTGGGGAGCACCGTGCAGTGCATTTTAGTTTAATCCCGAGTGGCTGGTTGGTGTGAGAAGAGCCGAGCAAGTGTCTCTGCCGCTGCTACCCTGAGTGCTCCAGCCTCCTGCTCTGCAAGCTTCCAGAAGTCCCAGTGCGTAGCCCGTTCCTGCATTCCAAGCGCGCCCAGGCCGAGCTGCAGCTGTCTCTCTCTCGCCAGCACCAGCGCCATCTCCAACAACAGCAGCAGCAGCGGCGGGAACCATGGAAGTTATGGAGGTGGCTCCCCCTCCTGAGAAGCACCTGAAACACTTCCACGGTTCCCGCCACTGCTGCTGCTGGTTGTTGGAAATGGTGCGCTGGCAGGAGAGGGACAGGAAAATTCCCCACCATGTTTTCCTACCGATCAACCATTCTTTATTTGGGATCGCAGGATACTGTCTCCAGCTCTGTTCTCAGGGTGAGTGAGAGATAGAGAGACTTTTGGCTTCATGCAAGGAAAGCAGCAGAAGTCTTTCTTTCTCTCCCCCAAACTCCGCCAGAAATGAGTCATTGTGAAACTTGTCGTGGCATGCAGCCAAAAGCAGAAGAAAGAAGCAGAAAGAAGCAGCCCGGTGGTCAGACTAGGCATGTGGGGCAAGTGGGGCAAGTTCCCCCCCTCCGCTCTTTCCCCCCTCCCCTCACTACCTCATGTTGTTCGCAATGCAAGCAACTCATTGCTTGTGTGTGTTTCTGCACAGTCTGGATTAATCGCTTTGGGAGTGACATTTCTATGCGGACCACCAAAATTTTCTCGTGGATCACCAGTGGTCCCCGGCCCACTGGTTGGCAACCACTGTTCTAAAACACTAAGTTGGGTTGCTGTGGGCAGGAGGTGGGGGAATTGAGTCATGGGAAATCAAAGAGGGTTCATTTGAACCAGTCAGCTAAAATAAATTGTAATAAATGAATAGATTGTGGAAACAGGACTATGGTATTTGCAGACATTTCACAGAGGCTATTCTGTATATGTTGATGCCTCTTACATATTAGAGAAGTGTGATTTTCCCCTTCATGTATATGCCTTAAGAACATACCAGCTCAGAGTGTTGAGGAAGAGAGCTGAATTTAAGTTGGTCCATGGTGAAGTTTTTGCCTGATAAAAGCCAGTCTTTTGCCTGATAAAATTCTTCTAATTTTTTGAGGAAATAAGGGCTAAGAACATAGATCCACCTATTCTTCTACCAGGCCCAGGGTGCTGCTGATAAGTAGAACCTTCATTGAGCTCATACAGTGGTCAGGATGTTTGAATTTAGTTGGATTCTGGAGTAAGAATGCCTTATTCTGTTTGCAGTTTATATTTCAGTTTCTAAAATTAAAATGGAGCAGTAATGTACAGAGTTACATTAACAAGGATTAGTCTGCCTCTTCTTAAATACAGAAATAAATGTTATCTTTTGTAATTGTGGTATTGCTGGATGTGTTCATTCCAGGGTTATGCAGCATTTAATGATACTCCTGAACTGATACGGGATCAAACAAAGAATATTTTATCAGGTAAGGAAGATTAAGGGATTAATTTGTTGACTGTAAAAATTTATGTGATTGGAATACAGCACTGAATGGAAAAATGGGAAACTTCCTATAAAATGAGAAAAAAACAATTAAAATATAGGCCTATTATGTGTTATTAAACAGATACTAGATACACTGTGAGGTCCTTGGTGCTCCCTGAGCTTGGTTGTTTTCTTGCAGACATTTCATCACCAAACTGACATCTTCAGCACTGATGATATTGCCTAGTTTAATAATGAAACATCTGCAGAAAAGCAACCAAGCTCAGAGAGCACTAAGGATCCAACAGTTCAACCCTAAGCTACAAATATTATCTTCCAATTGATAACACTAAATATATCAAAATTTCTGATTCTGAATTGTTCTGCATTTTACAATCATAGCAGTCATCTAGAGTTGCTTCAACATAATCTTGGCTATTTGGGATTAGAGTGTTTTTGTTCATTATATGAGACATAAAATCATAGTAAAGCTGTGGAAAAATGTATTGAGGGAAGCAATAAATAGAGAATAGGGGAGTTTGAAAGGAGAATAATATCAATTTAGCTATGTAAACCTGATTTAGGATGTGAACTTGCTTACATCATGGCCTAAAGACTTCCTTTTGAAAAGAACAATTGTAGTCATGAACTCTTAAGATGGAAGTTACTGAAGAGGCAACAACCAAATACGAACAATGCTTGGAGTATGGTGATTCACAAGATTTCTTAGCTGATTCTTCTAGAGATCTCCCTGCTTGATGTGTTTGTTTTTTTTAGTCCCAGCCTATTTACAATTATTCCCCAAAACAAAGCCGAATCAGAATATTATCCATGAACTCTAATAATAATATTGTTAAAAAGTGGAATTAATTTAACATAAGTTGTTGTTGAGGTACATGGGAGTCTAACGGAGAAAGGCCAAGGAAAGAAAGCAGTCTGTCTTGAGGAGCAAGGCTGGTGTAGGGAAAGCTTTGAATAAAGCATATGAAGGTACTGAATGTCCTTCTCATCTCTCCATGCTTTGATGTAAAAAGTAAAAATAATGTACAAAAGCTGTAGTATAGAATCTATGTAGAAAGGTTGATCATGGATTCTCTTTATTATCAGTTCCCAGGTACTTCAATTCAAGAAAAGATTGAATATTGCTTTGCACTTTCTATATGAATTAAGTTCCTTTTCAATAAATTTCCTTTTCATATAAACTTTTTTATATTTATTCCCAAATTAACATTTGAAATCCTTCAAGAACCAGGTAAATTCATTTTAAGGTCTAGATTTGGCCTGTGAACTTCTGGTTGACCACTCCAGACACAATTTTAGTAGTTTATAACTTTTCATGAACTAAGTCCTTGCATGTTATAAAGAAAACCAAAGAAAGTGTTTATTAACCTCTTCTATTTTCATTCTTGCATATGGATCCGTTCTGCCATTATAAACAGCTGTACCTCGTAAGTTTGAAAGAGCATGGAAGGAATGTATATGTAAACATATGCATGCTTTGTCAAAAAATGAAATTATTCCCAGAATGCCTTTTTCAACCAGGGAGATGTTAAAAGCAAAGCAATTACTCAGTTATTTTTAATATGCATTAAGCCCCATTGCTTTTGTGGAAATTGCATGCCACATTCTGCCTAGTGAAAAAATGTGTTAAAGGTAAGCTATATATTTAGCCTGCCATTATGGAGAAAATCAGATATTATATCTGCAACCTAATTAATATTGATATGCAAGTCCAGTATTGCTTGGAATGCAGATGGAGATGCTGGTCACCTATTTCTACTTAAATACATCTATTTTCATCCCAAAAACTCCCAGTTCATTTTTTCCCCTCATAATTCCTGATAGATTTTCTTGAAGGCAAAAGATAAATATTTTGAGGGCATTCTTAAATTTCACAGAGAGACTTAATAAATTGCTTTTAGCAAATCTTAGAAACTGGTGGGGTTTAAAATTTCACATTTTAATACATATAGCTCTTTCTATTATAAAATGTTTTAGTAGAGCTGCCATATTCTTTGCAGGTCCATATCTCCATAAGCAGGCACTATTACCAACATGTAGTATAGATAACATATCAGAATGTTTCTTGCACAAATGTTTATGACATTTAAAAAAAGTAAGTAACCTTGCTTGTGCAGTAACTTTGGATCTGTTTATTTTATTTTTATTTTTTGCTACATATCTCAATTTAGAATTAGAATTGTTTCCATGTAAATGTAAGACTGGAGAAAAACAACAACCAATGAACTGGTTTAGACATGCCTAAATATGTTAATGTGTGGAAATATTTGGATGATGATCAAACAGAGTGATTTTGAGCTACAGTTCAATTCATACCATATTCTCAGTAGGGTCAAGACCATGAGAACACTCTTAAAAAATATCCCATCTCCTCCTCAGACAAGCACTCATAGAGAACTTGTTTTTTTCTTTCTGGTGCAAATGCTTGATTGGCATTAGATTTCTTCATCTCATCCCATTGCTCTCAATGGCTCAGATACTTTATTTCCCAGTTGCAGGTCTTCTTGCTTTCCAGGGTCATCTCACTCTTCTTGCTTCCAGGACCTCCCTCTTGTATTATTTTCTTCCTCAAATTTCAAAAGAGCTCTTGATTCTTCTGGGCTCCAATTAGACTAAAAAATGCTAAGTAAAGATGGTAGAGAGCAGATAAGAATTGAGCCCAGAGCATCAGGAGGACAAGTGCTGGAGGCCTGTTTCACTTGAAAATGCTTCTGGTTTCTACCTGCTTTGAATAATATCAGATAAAATAATAATACCATGATAATAAGCAGTAAGAAAATACGTAAGCAGAATGCCTTGATTTATTAGAAAAGGTAATGAATGAGCAGAATGAATCAGATTAAAATGTTTTAGCCAAAGCACTGTAACTATTGAAGTCCCATGTTGTTCTCTTTAAAGTAGTAGAACAAAGATCTTCAAACTTGGCAAGTTTAAGACTTGTAGAGTTCAACTCCCAGAATTTCCGAGCTAACATGACTGAAGGAAGAATTCTGGGAGTTGAAGTCCACAAGCTGTCAAGTTTGAAGACCCTTGTAGTAGAATTTCATTTGGGTTGCAGGTTTTACATGATTAAATGCTTCACATTTTATTAGGTAGGCTTTTGGTCATGGGAGCAGACACAGACTTGTCTCCTTGGTGAGAACAAGGCTGTTGTTTCATTGGAATGAACATGCTTCAGTAGAAAGGTTGCATGAATTTAAGCATTGCATCAGTATGTTTGCAACATTAAAAGCTTGCTTTTAGAGGTGGAATCCAATAAGTCCTTTTTGTTTGTGGCAAGTCATTTTGTGTCAAGCATAAGTGAAATCCTTAACATGCATTCATCCTTTTCAGATATAAAAAGTATCTTGGAAAATGTTGGTTCAAACATCACAGCCTTTACTAAAAAGCTTCCCATTCAGAAGATTCTAACAGATTTCACGGTATATCTCACTCAGAGTGAAGCATATGTTGAATATTATTTTCCATTAGTGGAGCAATATGATTTCTACAGGTATGTGCATATTATATTTGATGAAAAAAATGCAGAGGCTATTCCCTAAGTATTATTGAAGATCAATACATGTAAAACTACTTCGAGCTGAAACAAGGGGATGCCTATTATATAGCCATATCTAGCTAAACTGGAGAAGCATTTGCAAGCACAATGCAAATACATAATGATCTGTAGAAAAACATGCAGGGCAGCAGTATTCAAAGCCAAAACATTTTAGGTCTTTTTTATACTTCAGGTACATTTAAATTAGTATAAATTACATATAACTTCAACTGCTTGTTCTGCCCCAGAGACTGGAATTAGAACATCTTGGAGTCCAATAGAAATAGGCTTCTCGTGCCTAGAGGGAAGACTAATTAATACCTTAATTCCATCCAGAAAATAGATAATCCTAATTATGTTTTCAGGGGTGAAAGACAAGAGAACAAAGATCAGATCCAAGAAATAAAGAATTATTATACCAGAGAGGTCTTGGCGAGCAGACAATGCTGGAGGTGCAAGAGATACATGTTGAGGTTCTCAAAAGGGAGACATTTTCCTACTGATGCTGATGCTTTATTTAACATTTTTATAAACATAATAAGTAGATTTTACAAAGCAGTTGTAGATTTCTTCAACATGGAGCAAACTCAGACAGAAACCTGTTGCAAATTCAGAGCGGAGCACCAGTCTTCAGTAGCAAGCATTATACACAGCAGAGGAGAGAAGCAGTTTCATTTCATTTTCTTTTTTTTAAACAATTTTATTTGAGTTTTCACAAAACGAAAAGGTAAAATAGAACATCTTTTTTTAGTGAACAGCATGGTTCCAGGTTTTCACTTCTCCATACAGACATAATCTTGATTATATATTCATCTTTCATATTCAGTTTCATATTTTATCACTACTTTATACATTCTCCATTTGTTTTTTCTCAAATACCTCCCTCAGGCTTATTTTATAGCTTTCTCATTCATTTTTAAATCTATTTCATTTCATTTCATTTTCAAATTTGCCATATCTTCATAATCATTATGCTTATACTTTTATCTGTCCTGTTTAGAATTTCATTATATATTCTTATATCATCATTTTCCAGCAAATTCCTCCACATTTCAAACATTACAAAACAAGGTTTCCCTTATAATTACCAATTAGAGTGTATCACCTTCGTATCATATAATTTGTTCCCTTTCCGGTCCCATTAAACATTCAACTTTTGATTAAACAATTATAACATTCAATTCCTAATAACTACATTATAACATAAATCCCTTTTTAATCAGATTACACATGTTCCTTTAAATCACCTCTGATAAAACTTTAAATTTCAAAAAAATAATAATAATTAATCTATTAAAATTCATCCTAGAAACTGATATTGATCTTCTTACAATCCTTCTCATAATTCATAGTTAGTGAATCATTAATATACATATTTTAATATCCCGCTTGTTCTCATAATTCATTTCAATTATATTTTATAGATCATTAAATATAATTAATTTACATATTTTTCATCATATCTCTATATTTAATTTAACTGTTAGCAAACATTCCATTAATTAACAATATCAGTTTCATCTTCCACTTCAATAACATATCTTTTGCTATTTCTACATAATTTATTAATATCTAATATATTTATACTATCCCTTGTCACCTTGCAGAATCCTCTCTTAATTTTTATTTTTAATCATTATCTCTGTGTCTTTTAAACAAGCTATTTCCTTTTATTCTTGTTCATTTCCCATATTTCTTTATTTCCTGATTTTATTTGTTATAATTTATTTCCCCTTTATTTTTTTCCTCTTTTTCTCTCCAATTTTTGTCCCCTTCTCTCTTTAACACTTCCTTCTGTGATCCTCCCTTCTGCTTTTCCCATGTATTTTGTTTGTTTTTCGAACTGTTCTTTTTTCCAATTATTTCCTCTAATTTCCAATTTTTAATTCCCTTTTTTCGCTTCAAGGCTCGTTGTCTCTTTTGTTTGTTAAAGATGGCCTCTCCTTTATTCAGCTCTTCTTCTCCCTCTGAGGCTCCTTGTTGTTCCTCATATTCCAAAACCGCCATTTCTAGAAATTGTAGAGCATAGCCAAATGATTCCTTCTTTTGCAGCTGATCTTTCATATTTTTCAGTTCCATTTTCAATTCCAGAAAAAGTTCTGCCATCTTTAAACACTTCTAACCAATACTTTATAGCAACCAAAGTCTAAAAAGTTACTTCCCACAGTTAATTCCAGTTAAATCCTCTAGCAATCCAATGTCCAAAATTTCCAAAGTCACCAAACAATCCCAGAAAAGTTTCTACTTCTTTCTTGTTTCAAAGTATCTAAGATTCACTTTCACTTTCCGGGGGCTCTATTTTATTGTAGAAATATTTCACTTACTTTGTATTCTTTAAAGGTCTTTTAAAATTCACAATTAATTTCTTTTAGCACCAAGTGGCACTCTCTGCTATGTCCAAGTTCCACCCATTTTCCCCTTTCTCCAGTTTTTCCTCTTTTCTGGCTTTTAAGTTTCAAAAGTTCCTTATTTTCCCTTTGACACTTTCAAGTTCAGCTTTAAATTCGCCTATTTGGTGTCAAGATCATTTTACACTAATACTTTTTCAGAGTTCTTTTTCAAAATTCAAAGCCAGTTCCAGCTGTTAAATCTCCCCCCCCCTTCTTTACTGCCACTTTAAAAATCTTTCTCAAAAGTTCTTAAATATTTTAATTCCAGGGTACCTTGTATTTAAATATTATTTCTGCTCAGCCCGGTCACTCAAGCTGTCCTCTTCTTCTCCGCTCCTGCACATTCTTGTCCGATTGTATCTCCCTCTTCAGGGTGGCCATTTTGACCACTGCTATTGCCATCTTTGGAGAGGAGTAAATGCCAAGCCAAGGATGGGAGATGCAGCTCCCCTCAACCCAGCTGGCAGTTTCCCCCTTCTTCGCCACCTCTATGGGGTGGCTTCAGCCCCAAATCGAGTAGATCAGGGCCCTCCAATGGAGAGCACAAACTGAAACTGCGGATGATCGCGGATTTCAGTCTTTTACCGAGGGAGTCCAACCAGAAGTCCCCAGTTTCATTTTCAATAGACAGACTCAGAGCTCAACATAGCTTCACAGCTGCAGAGCTTAACATAGCTGCCAGGCCTAAGCTACTTCTAGTTTCAGTTTCCAAACTGTCTTCAGTGGCTGATTTAGTTGCTATGCCTATTCATTGGCTGACCTTGTTATCAAGCTCTATTCCAGTTCATGAATATACTCTGACACTTTAACCATTTAATTTTAGAGTGTATTCGTGAATCTTCATTCTTTTTATTAAAAAGGTTCTAAAATGCAAGAAAAGTTTAAGTCCAATTTTAATACTCTTGAATGAGAATAGGAAACTTAGAGAAATATGGTTGGCTTTGATTGATCTTGGAATCATCTTTTTGATACTCTGTTTAGGTGGCTGGGCTGCTTAATCCTATGCTGTATGGTGATCCTGATTCTGGTCTTTTTCTCTCTGGGATTATTATGTGGTACATGTGGCTATGACAAAAATGCAACACCAACAACCAGAGGCTGTGTCTCAAATACTGGAGGAAATTTCCTGATGGCGTGAGTACTTGCCCTTTTAATTTTTTCCCCCAGGTTAAAAGAATTGCATTGCAGAAATAGACTTGGAAGATATAATGCAAAAAAGAAGATGAGAAGGAGGAGGAAAACTTTGCCTTGGGTTTTACTGAGATCTGCATTATACAGCTTTGGAGTTACACTTACTTTCTGTGTGTATATATGCAAACATCTGGACTAATCCTGCCCTTTTCTAGGCAAGGTCTTATGGAAGTGGTTTGCCATTGCCTCTTTCCTAGAGATGAGAGAGAGGGATTGGCTCAAATTATCCAGGTGGCTTTGTGCCTACAGTAGGACTAGAACTGAAGGCCTTGCAGTTTTTAGCCTGATGCCTTAACCACTGACTCTCTAGTTCACGGGTGTCAAATTCGCAGTGTCATGTTGGTGTCACATGACATTACATGATGTTTTCCCCATTCACGGAGCTGTGGTGGTGGTGTGGGGGGCACGGCCTGCATGTGACACCTCT